GGCTTTGGTCTTTCACACTGTTTTCTTATGTTTGAATTAAGGTAGTAGCCTTGTAGCAACTGACAATTGTTAGGTCATCTTGGAATGACTGAGTTGAAAAGTTTGCTTTATGTCTTTATAAACAATTCTGTTTATCATGCCTGTGTACTTGTTGTTTAACACCACACAGAGTAATGTTCCAGCTAAATAATCGAGTCTGGACCAGACAATCCGGTGATTGACGTTGTGAGCTTGATCAGCGTAATTGGTATATGATGACATGTGTCAACCAAGTCAGCAAACCTGACCACCTGATCCGTTATATGTTAGTTGCCTCTTGAGACAAGCATGGATTGCCAATAACCAATTCTAACCTGGATCTTTATTGGTCCATGGTGTATGAAACAAAGTTTCAAAGTTTTCCTCACTGTATATTGTCTGCTATTGTCTGAAATTTTATAATCTGAATATTTCTCGGTTATAAAGAGTGAGTAAGTGAGTTTGGTTTACGCTGCTTTTAGCAATATTCCAGCAATATAACAGCAGGGGACACTATAAATGGGCTTCACACATTATACCCATGTGGGGAATCGAACCCTGGTCTATGGCGTAACGAGCGAACGCTTTAACCACTAGGCTACCCCGCCACCCCTGGTTATAAAGAAAACAAAGATGTAAAGAAAGATTTTGTGCATTCTCTTTAGTTTGCTGGCTTTAGTTTCAGAAGTGCATGCCTTACCACTGAAATACAGAGTAAAACCACAACTTGTGTCAACATTCATGCTTACGTCATCATTAGCACAACAATGTATGTGCATGTTACAGCTGAAACATTATCGTTTAAAAATATAACTTGTGTATCTGTCTCAACACAGACTATAAATGTAATGCAGATATATACATTTTCCTGCAACTCAAACATGCGACATGTCGAAATATACCGTGACATGAAGACACCACAATCTCCAGTGAGTAAACACAAACAGACAATGACAAGACTCAAGATGTGATGTCTTTCTCAAAACCAGTTTCAAAACATTTCTTAGTCCTAAATATCAAGCATGTCAAGTTTTAGTCTGATCAAAATTCATATTAAAGCATGAAATGGAGGTAAAAAGGTGATAATTGTTCTGGAATAAATCTTATATAAATTTGAATGCTGCAAATCAATTCTAGTGTAATATATTGTAAGTGGTGTCCACCAGAAGGGTTCAATAATCCCATGCTGGATCTCCCCATCCATGGCGTGGCTGGAGTAGTGATTGAAGCAGCATGAAGCACTCACTCATATGTCCTAGGTTGGCACAACATTGACACAAGTCTGACTAACACGCCGCCAAACTGCAAGTGTTGCCAGTCCACAAACAGGTAACATACCACACTAGTTTGTTGACCTAGGAGTAACAGGATGCTGTACCCAACATGCATCAGTAACATGTGTGGCTTCAGATGAGCTGCTATTTAAGTCAGGGTTCAGAGCCATGCAGACTTCCCGGAGTATAATGTGCCTCATTTATTATACACTGTCTATATCCAAGACATTGTCAACAAACGCACATAACAACACACTTCATGCACATATGTCCAGGGACAGGAGCAGATCCCAGCCTCAGGTAATCTGACCATTCCAGAGGTGTCATTCTCTAATCCTCTTCATGGAGATACTTTTGATTATATATTGTCATACACTGAACAATACAAGGTAGCGCCCCAAATACTGGCTGTGAATATGTGGAGTCACATGTACATGTGATTATGGGTGTTAATTGTGTACAGGGGTAGAGAAGACATGTAGATACAGTATTCAGATCACATATCCACCTGTGACAGGAGGGTTTCCAGCCATGTATCCACCTGCTGTAGAGGAACCTGTCAACTTCTTATCTACTCCTGTAAGAAGAGATTTTCAATAATGTATCTACTTGTTAATCTAGATTGTATCTACTTGATATAAGGATATTGTCAACATTGTATCCATCATCCTATCTCTTGCTCTCCCTCTCTTTCTGAATCACAAACACACACACAAAACACACACACACACACACACACACACACATATGCAAAGAGATATGCCAGTTAAGTGGGATTACTGTGTTTTAAAGCTCAATTTAAATGCAAATTAATTAACAGAATTCCTTCAGTAACACTTCACTTACAAGGTAAATATCTACAAGGAGTTTGAAACCTTACACAAGCGTTGTTTGTGAGATGTTTGGTGTTTAAGAAGGTATTTTCAAACACTAGGCAGGGAGCAGGCTGATGACTAGTAATTAGTACTAAGAAAACACATGTGTCTACAGCCAAGCTTTAAGGGATTGTCACTATTTGTTCGTGAGTGTACACTACAAATTACCTCACACACAGTTTTTTTAACATCTGTGGAAACAAACAAACAGGTCAGATACAGTCTCTTCAGCCAACACAGCAGTAGAGTAGGAACTTTTCTCACCTCTCCTCCATTACTCCCACCTGACTGACAATCAATGTTTGGACTTAAGATGTGCAATATGACTGGATGGTGTGTTGTTTATTTTGATAAAAAAATATGTAAAGTAATTGTTCTGTATTATTAAGTGAATGTTCAACCTTCATGTGAAATATTTCAGTTTTGTCTAATCAGTTTGCTGGGGTTCCTGTCTAGACCAGCAAACCAATGGAACAACATCATTCAGATCTTATATTCCCATTTTATCCAGCAAGAGATTAAAATGAAAACATGAAGACTCTCGTGAACATCTTTGATACATAGAAAATGTTTATGTAACACGGTCCACTTCTGATAGCTAAGAAGAATGAGACCAATGAGGAACCGGTAGCAACCAGTATATTTACTCAAGGGGTATTTACTGAAGCAGTATTTTCTTGCAATGTTTAGTGTGGAGTTTGAGTTGCTTGTTCCATGTCTGAGACCTTGTCTATATATTGTTATACCGGTGGTCACAGGGTGGCCACTGCATTAGGTGTTTGCTTGTGCCACAAACGTACTATGTTCTGTTCCACATTGTGTCCTAGGATCCTTATATAAGAGGAGGGCTTGTGATGAACTGAACCAATCCTTGCAATTGCTGACATTTTGATATCATATTCAACGGTTGGTTGATAATGAAGCAGATTAATTATTGTATCAAAATGTCACAACCCAGACAAATTTTTGTTCACATGATGTTATCTTATTGTCATAATTAATTTGTCTGGTACATTTTTTATCACACATGGAGTTTCTTTATGACATTATGCATGCTCTCGAACTTTGAGGTCAGATGGCTCAGGCGGCATCATTTTTGCTCTTATTTTGAAACACATACTAGTAATGTTTTGTAAACCTCAGGATTTTGGAGGTCATCTGATTGCATTATAAAATCCATCTGTTGTACCTGAGGGGAATCTTTCCCACCCTGCCGGTGTCTGACACAGTGGACAGCCCAATGATGGGATGGACAGCAGAGCCCTTGACTGAGAGCCGTGTGTCAAGCTGACCGACAGGTGGTACAGCAAGCTGATGGTCACAGACGGAACAGGTTTAATCCTCAGTATACCTTTGTGTCCACTCAGACAGAACATGATACATCTACACGTGGGACGATACATTCTCGCGTTGTAACCACCGGGCAGGGTGGGATTTCTTCAAAGAATTCCTGCTCCTGAAGATTAATTCTGTCTGATAGGTGACAACAGACTTTCAGCTGTTTGTTTCAGGAATTCTTGGGAACAAAGTGTGTGGAGAAACTCGTTAGTCCACATGGTGTATCATCCCAGACAGCATGTGTCTCATGTTGTCATGGGTTAAATGGAAAAGAAAAAACCATAATTCAGACATTGAATGTTGGCCTTGTCTCAATGATCAAATGGCATTAACAACCATGATCAGTTAAACCAGAAATGTCTTAATCCAGAATCTTCATCAAACCAGAAACTTTTAAACCAGAAACTTGTAAATCCAGAAAGCTGTTACCTCAGAAATGTGTTAAACCAGAGAGTGGATATCATACCATCAAGATAAACAAGGTTTTGTGTCATTAAGATACCTTTCAATACATAGGTGTCTGAACATAAGATCTCATTGACATGCATTTGTTACGCATTTTGCGGGGATATTATTTTGGACTCCGTCCGTCCATGCAAATACGTGTTTTCCAGAGGAGAACATAAAAACATTAAATATTTCTTCACCAAACTTTGCACATAGATAGGTCTGGTGGTGAAATGGTGCCTTTTGGTAATTTTGGATTTCTGATTAAAATATTTGTTTGCGTCTCCATGGCAACAAGTTTGACTTCGACTGAAACTGGTGGTAATGCTCCTATCCGGAGCAGAACTTTAAAACCTTTTAATACTCTAATTCCACTTTGTGGGTATTCAAGAACCTAATAACATAAATCAACAGTACCACTCTGTTTCCAGTATCAACAGTCATTACATCAAACCGTGGAAGCACTCAGGCAGTCTATTGTTGATACAAGCATGCTAGTATGTGAATGGTTTACATATGTATGTTTTCGTTAGATCTACATGAGGAACAATGTAACATGTGACACAATCATAACTAGTTGACATATTCATGAAGAGTATTTTACCATCGCGGGGGATATTGATGACTTTGTCTTCTTGTTTGATGTTATTTTACTCTTTCAGTAGTGTTAACGGTGCTAAAACTGACATTCACACCCTGAATTAACACTAACATTCACATACTGAATTAACACTGACATTCACATCCTGAATTTACACTGACATTCACAAACTGAATAAGCTCAGACATTCACACACTGAATTAACACTGATATCTGCACACAGACATTCACACCCAGAATTAACACTGACCTTCACTACACAGAATTAACACTGACCTTCACACACAGAATCAACACTGACCTTCACACACAGAATTAACACTGACCTTCACACACAGAATCAACACTGACCTTCACACACAGAATCAACACTGACATGTAACTTAACTGAGGTCCTCATGTCACCGTGGTTGTCCACTTGTATAAGGTGTCTCTTCTGTGTTTCAGGACATTGGGTGTGATGGCATCGCAGGGTCCGGATCCAGTGTGGACCAGTGTGGGATCTGCGGTGGTAACGGCAAGTCGTGCCAGATCATCTCCGGGATCTTCACTCGCCGACAGCTGGACAAGTATGGGTACAACGTCATCACCAAGATCCCATCTGGAGCCTGCAGTATCAACATCACGGAGTTGGCCAAAAGTCGGAATTACCTCGGTAAGGAACCTTGCTTGACTCAATAACTTGTATCTCCAAGCTAGATGATCTCAGTCATCCAATCACTTCACCTCCAGCGGACATCTATGAATTTGGATGCACTGGTTCCGTTCATGGTTCTGATTCAGAATTCTTCAAATTTTAAAAATGACCCACACAGTCTGTCCAAAGTACAAGTCAAACAGTCTTGTTTCATTAGCAGTCGATGATTCTAGACAGGTTGAAGGAAGTTTTATACTGTAGATCATCACAATCAAGGGTGTGGTTACTGTATCTATCAGGGAGATCTACGGGTGACTTGTCGCATACAGATAGAGATTCTCTCTGCATTCATTTAACTCTTGACCTCTTGAGATTTTTCGTCTTTGATGTTCAGAATCATACACAACCCACATATACAATATGAAAAGGTGTTTCATGAAAAGCAAGTGACATCTTCCTGAAGGATTATTGTTTGGCTAAGGGTTCATCTCTCTTACAACTGACAAATATCACCAGTATTTGTAATTGATAACCACAAAGCTTATATGTAGGTAAATTTTAGATAACCAAGGCACATTATTCTTCAGTTCCAATTGGGACACATAATCAGTAATTCTGAAATAGGCTGTGTAAGCTAGCTATCTCACTTGTTTGATTAAGTCATTTCCGTGACAGGGTTTGGTAACTTGAGCATTACATGGCTGTCACAGGACAATATGTTCTCACACTGTTATACTCGAAGTCTTTCAAATCCTAAATAATCCATCGTCATGACGTCAGGGTCAAAATATCAACGCCATACAGCATGCACTGGAACCATTCCTAGCAGGAATTCCTGTTATCTACAATTGCTGAGCATCGCAATGATCATAAATGAAGGTACATTGGTGGTAGGCCTGATGATAAGTGAGGTACATTGGTGGTAGGCCTGATCATAAGTGATGGTACATTGGTGGTAGGCCTGATCATAAGTGAGGTACATTGGTGGTAGGCCTGATCATAAATAAAGGTACATTGGTGGTAGGCCTGATCATAAACAAAGGTACATTGGTGGTAGGCCTGATGATAAGTGAGGTACATTGGTGGTGGTGGTAGGCCTGATGATAAGTGAATGATGTACATTGGTGGTAGGCCTGATCATAAGTGATGGTACATTGGTGGTAGGCCTGATCATAAACAAAGGTACATTGGTGGTAGGCCTGATCATAAACAAAGGTACATTGGTGGTAGGCCTGATGATAAGTGAAGGTACATTGGTGGTAGGCCTGATCATAAGTGAGGTACATTGGTGATGGGCCTGATGATAAGTGATGGTACATTGGTGGTAGGCCTGATCATAAGTGATGGTACATTGGTGATGGGCCTGATCATAAGTGAAGGTACATTGGTGGTAGGCCTGATCATAAGTGATGGTACATTGGTGGTAGGACTGATCATAAATAATTTGGTATTCCTGATTAAAAGTTACGATATTCCATAGGAGGCATGTTCATAGGCCTTGATAAATATTGACTGTTTTATGTTTAGGTTTGGTTTTAATGAATGCCTTTGAACAGATTAGGATTAAGTACTTGCTTGGGATTCAACAGGTCATTCTTCAACCTGATGTTTGCATCCTGCTTTTGACATGGCCAAACAGGATACAAACAGGATACAAACATGGTACAAACAACGATACAGCAAACAGCTGCACGTGACATTGTATTTGTTGGTTTTGGTAATTAATTCCTTCTGAAGCATTTCACTTTGATGATGCTTCTTGCACACCTACATGACAGAATCTTTTTGAAAGAATTCCTGATTCCAAAAACTACTTCAATTGTCTAAAATGCTGAGTCAGCTGTCTAATCAATCAATCCAACATTCCTGTCGGGTGATACGAGATGCGTCACATGACAGGTCGGAATCAAACAACACTTGCCAAGCAAATGCTGGACATCAAAGGTCTACCTGAGTCAACAAATCGTTTACCAACATGTGCTAACCAGGTTTGACACCATCGTAGAATCTTCATTCAAATACGTATCCCCCATGATCCCCAGAATGTTCTCAATTAGATGTCGACAACTTGTACAACAGTGATGCTTTAGACTGAATCAAGTGACATCACTCGTTCTGAATGAGGGTGTGGCTAGAGGAATATAAATCAGCTGTAATTAAAAATCATTGGGACTGGAATAAATTCTATTTCCTAAAGTCAGTTGAAGCAACTCAGGCAATTGACCTGTTGTATCTGAAAAAAGGCAGTCAATATTTATGATATCCTGTCATCTTCTCACCAAATACAGTGAAACAGGCGAGCTGCTGGTCATCAGAGGCAGTCAGAAGCTGGAAGGATACGAAGACAATGAACATTAGTGGACACTGTTGCTCCTTCCGTCTCAGTCATGTAGTCACCCTGAAATGTTGTTACAAGTCATAAAGACGTTTTACCTGTAGATGTATTATGTCTTCCAGGAATGACCTTATATTGCATTAATATCTCTCTTGTTGCAACATACACTCAGTAAGATGAATCCCTCAGCTAATGTATATTTCTCCTTGTCTTTTATCTTTTCATAAAATGTCATGGTTTGCTATGAAAACTTCCACCAGACCACAGGAACGTTTGGATGGGTGAAGAGCGAATATCAGAGTGAACCGAACACGAGCCAAACGATATTATCTGAACGTACACTGTGCCATACATAGACCATGTATATTGATAAGTGTATATTAATAACAAAAGGAGAGTTTGGACTGCCAGTCATATGAGCTGATTGTATAAATACTGGATATAAACCAAAAGTTCAACATGGTATAATTCATACTTCCTCACATTCCTCAGGTGGCAGACAAATGACAGTGAAAAAAACTGAAAGAAGTGCTTCAAAGACATGATTTATTGAACAACACTTACTAGCTGTTTGTCTGTTGAAGGATTCCTTCATGATCTTTAGACAAAGGCATAGCTCTTGCAGGTGTGAAGTGAAATGTACACTCCAGCATTGAGAGATATGTGTTATGTGTAAACAGGTAATTATTGTTCCATGTTTTGATGATTGTTTCTTCTGTTGAGGCAAACAGTGTTGGACATATGGATCAAACCCACATGGAAGATTAGGGCATCATTAGTTTTCTACTTACTCTAGCAGAATCAGTGTGTGTTCCAGAAGTTCTTCAAAGTAGCTATCATAGTTTCTAATAAATATCAATACACTAATGTGTCACTGGATTGTCTGGTCAAGATTTGTTGGTTGATGGGCATTCTAGAAGTTGGTGACTCAAAAATGAAACATACAACTTTATGGATGACAACTTCTTATTTATTGCATAGAGCGACATTTCGATGTAGATTCTTACATCGTTATCAAGCTAAAAGTGAAAACAACCAGATGTAGAGGAGTATATATACATAGCATGTTTTGACAACTACAGATTAACATTAACAACAACATGTAATTGAATAACAACTGGTACATAATTATGAGAGGCCAGTGGGAGACTAAAAACAACAAATGAGACTGGGAACGAAGCCAATAAACAAGGGGGATTAAGTTGTAATAACAAGCTGATTGGATGCTTATAGAGTCTATAGTTTGATTAGTTCTTCATAGGCCGATGGTATGTAGTATCCTTGGTCTCTGTTGATCAAAGGTTTGTGGCGGCGGATTTCGATGGCTTCCAAGAGTTTTCTTTTTGTGAAGTCCTGATTCTTGGTTGATAGGATTCCAAATTTGTCAAACTTGATTTGATGGGTAGGGAATTTCTGATGGTGATCGGAGAGGGCTGATTTGCTGTCTGATTTTGTTGTTGAGGTTTTATGTTCTTTAATGCGGATATCAACGGGACGGGAGGTTTCACCAATATAGGAGTCACCACATTCACAATTAATCTTGTAGATCACTCCTTTGGGAGGCTGCCTTTTGGAGGGTAGGTTGTGGCCATTGGCTTGGAGGATGGTCCTGAGGGCTGCAGAGCCAGTGAAGATGGTGTCGATGCCTTCTTGGTGCTTTAGTAGTCTGCTGATTTGATGGGAGGTTTTGCCGATGTAGGGTAGGGTGATTCTGGTTTAAACATATTTTTATTTCGCCAAAGCAGAAACTTTGATAGGTGAACAAGCCTAGTGGCTCATATTAACGCCGCTCCAGTACATTGCTCAGTACTCTATGCAATAAATAAGAAGTTGTCATCCATAAAGTTGTATGTTTCATTTTTGGTCAAGATTTGCTATCACACGATTGGTCCAGATTCCATAGCATATGGTGTAAGTGTTGCTGGGTGCAGCGTTGGACAACAAACATTTCCTAATGTTTTAATGCTGACTGTCAGTTGTATGTGGGGAATGACATGCTTGTCCCTTCCATGGACACTTGGCGCTGTCACTGAGTTTCAGTCATCCTTTCATACTGCCGCGTAGCGGCTGTATCCTGCACCCGGTGGAGTCTGTGTGGCAGGGAGTCAGAACTGATAAATCTCTGGTATTGATGTATTGAACTGTCTTGATGCTGGAGTCTGTGTGGCAGGGAGTCAGAACTGATAAATCTCTGGTATTGATGTATTGAACTGTCTTGATGCTGGAGTCTGTGTGGCAGGGAGTCAGAACTGATAAATCTCTGGTATTGATGTGTTGAACTGCCTTGATGCTGGAGTCTGTGTGGCAGGGAGTCAGAACTGATAAATCTCTGGTATTGATGTGTTGAACTGCCTTGATGCTGGATGTGGCAGGAGATGTGTTGAACTGTCTTGATGCTGGAGTCTCTGTGGCAGGGAGTCAGAACTGATAAATCTCTGGTATTGATGTGTTGAACTGCCTTGATGCTGGAGTCTGTGTGGCAGGGAGTCAGAACTGATAAATCTCTGGTATTGATGTGTTGAACTGCCTTGATGCTGGAGTCTGTGGCAGGGAGTCAGAACTGATAAATCTCTGGTATTGATGTGTTGAACTGCCTTGATGCTGGAGTCTCTGTGGCAGGAGTCAGAACTGATAAATCTCTGGTATTGATGTGTTGAACTGTCTTGATGCTGGAGTCTGTGTG